CCCCAAAAAATGGTTTGTACACTGAACGTGGTTTGGGTCGCAGGTGGGCCGCGGGTTCCCCGCCGGGAGCGAATGCAAAGAATGCCCGCCGCAGGCGCCGAAAAATGTGGTTTGTACCCTGAACGTGGTCGCGGGTGGGCCGCGGGCTCTCCACCTGAAGCGAATGCAAAAAATGCCCGCCGCAGGCGCCGAAAAATGTGGTTTGTACCCTGAACGTGGTTTGGGTCGCGGGTTGGTCGCGAGTTGGTCACGGGGTGGGTCGCGGGCTCTCAACCTGGAAGGAATGCTGGAAGGAATGCCAAAAAAACAGCCGCAGGCGCCGAAAATTGTGGTTTGTACCTTGAACGTGGTTTGGGTCGCGGGTGGGTCGCGGGTGGGCGCGGGTGGGTCGCGGGTGGGTCGCGGGTGGGTCGCGGGTGGGTCGCGGGTGGGTCGCGGGTGGGTCGCGGGTGGGTCGCGGGGTGGGTCGCGGGGTGGGTCGCGGGGTGGGTCGCGGGGTGGGTCGCGGTGGGTCGCGGGTGGGTCGCGGGTGGGTCGCGGGTGTGGGTGGGTCGCGGGGTGGGTCGCGGGTGGGTCGCGGGGCGGGTTGCGGGTGGGACGACGACAACAAACAACAACAACAACAACAACAACAACAACAACAACAACAACAACAACAACAACAACAATTACTAGCACGTGGGGACACTCCGTTCTCACCAGTGCCAGGGTTTTCATAGGAGGCGGGCAATACCCCCACTTTGTGGGGGGGCCGGTTCAAGCTCTACCAAATTTCCAAACGACTCTTCGCCACCACCCACACCCAGCTTCCCGCCCTATGACGTTCGGACACTTCACTTCGTGGCATGCGGACGACCGTGGCTACTATTCAGGGCCCCGCGGCCGACGACGACGGCGTGCGCGCGCGAAGAAAAAACGAATGTGTCCCGCATGGTATTATTTGACAGGGATGATGGCCCTGGCAGGTGCGCAACCGTTGTTGCAGAAGTTCGAAAAAGTTGCTCGCAAAAGCCCGTTTGACAGAAATGTTTAAAAAGTGTTGGGTTTCCTACGAATCCGCAAGAGCGCGCGGGATGAGATTTTGACATTTTTTTGTTGAAAAACCATTGGTTTTTTGATGTTTTTATGTTAAAATCGCTCCGAACACTAAGCTTTTGGAAGGATTTCGTCTTGCGCGCGCGAATGTCCACTTTACCTTATTTTTTGCAAGGGATTCTTGAAATTTGATTATATTAGAACAAGAAATGTCATTTTATAGTGTTTTTTGCAAGGGAAAACGGATTACAACAAAACAACCGGATCTGGATCACATCGTTTTACCTGAGGCTTCCTCACGAAAATGATGAAAACGTGGCTGCGGCCTAGGCGCGGCGGGGGGGGGCGTGCACCAGGGGGCCCAACAATAATTATTCTTTAGAAGTAATAATATTCAACAACGAGAATCCGCACCGCGGAATTACACTTCAGCCACGCACCCAGGGACAGTGAATGACCGTTCGGCCCCCTCACTCTGATTAGTAGGGAGCAGTGATAAACCCCTCCCCGAAGGGGAAAAAGGAAGTTGGAAGAGGAATCTCCCCAAACCACCTACGCCCAGAGGGCTGGTGGGATTTATACATGACGACCGCCTGGAGGGTCAGTTTTCGGAGCTTCGGCATTCGGTGGATATGGACATATTCGGGACCCGCGGGGCCGAAATATATCTATATCCACCGCCCGTTCGGGCACCAGGACGTCGGTTCCCAGGCGGTGGATGTGGATAAATCCCTGCCTCGCACAGCGGCCGCCGCCTCGGCCGCCACCCTCCACCTCGTGGCGACGAGAGGCCTCTCTCCCCAGACCCTCTCGGGTCAGACAACATAGGACGGCAGAGTTTTCGTTTTTTTCGCATCCTGGGGCTCCTCTGCCAGCCTTCGGGGCTGTCAAAAAAGGCTCGGAATGAAAATCTGGCCACGGGGAATCAGGCCGGATCGCTGGAGGTGTACGTCATGAACAACTAGCTCATGACGTCGTAGGTCCCGGGTCTGGAGGCCCACGGAGTGTCACGACACCTGTAGCCTCGGCCCTCGAACGCCGACGTCCAGGCAAGCCTAGGATAAGTCGGGCCTGTCCCTCCACAGGAGGAATGTTCAAATATAATCAAAACTAGTCTCGGGACCATTTTTCGTTTGTCTGTGGCCATTCATGAGTTACCGTTTGAGTATTCTAATGTTTCCTCCAAAATCCGCCTGCAGGGGGACATGCCCGACCTAAGCCTGGGATGAGTATATGAACCGTTCCAGGGCGTCCCGGAACGCCTTCGGAACGGTCCGGAACGCGATGGGCCGGCACGCTCTGAAGCGGCTGCGGCGCCCGATGCGGCCTCCGGACCCGCCGGCTCAGAGGCTCGAAAACGCGCCCTGGGCCGAAGGCGGTGCTCGTGCCGAAAGCGTGCCGAAAACTGGCCTGGGGCCCTGGGTTATGATGCTCCCAACCTGCTTCAGTCTGGATCGCCAGAAAGAATATCGAGCACCAAAAAAGTAGCCTTGGGCCTTGGGTTCTGATGCTCCGGCCTACGTTAGCCTTGGTCACCAGAAAGAACTTCGAGCACCAAACAAGTGCCGGAACTCGAGGGTTTTCACACGTCGGGGCCTGGGAGACACTCGTCCGACACTGTCTCGACACGGTTTCGACACTTTTTCGGGTGCTCGAAATTATTTCTAGGATGTGGTCTTCGAGTACAATGGGAACAACATAAGCTTTGGGTCGAAACTGAACCCTGGGCCGAATAACGAGTCCCAAATTACGGTAAGGAATTTTCGCTTAGCGTTTCGCGCCGCCAGTCCTGGCTCACCACGCTTCGGCGCGGCACGCTAGTCACCTCCTGGTCTCCGAGCGTCAGCGTCCCGAGCTCTTCCGAGCATCCCGCCCCGTGGAGCGGAGCGACACGCTGTCAGCTTGCAAGGCGTACTGCGTCACCAGGGCCGCCGCCGCGACACGCACGCTAAGCAACAGTTCCCCACCGTAGATGCTGTTCTGGGGACCTTCCAAGGGCCCACACAGAGAGTGTGTTCGACTCCAGCTCGACTCCAGCCCGACCAAAGTTCGGCTCAAGTTCGATTCAAGTCGACGGACGCTCGACCCAGCATCGACACGTGAGTGGCGCGAGGGGCTCTGGGAGGAAGGTCCTCAGAACGAGCATCCAAACCTCCCTCCCAGATGTCCGACACATTGGCAAAAGTGGCACGGAAGGCGCCAGGCCCAGTGTTGGGACTTCCGAAGACCCTGCATTGTGAGGCTTCGGGCTGCGCAGAGACCATCTGGTCTCAACACGCCGCACGAGCAGCCCGGGGCTGTCTTTACACCTCGACCCTGGGGCGCGGAGCGCCCCAGGGGCGCCGCCTGAGGCGGCTCCCGGGTGTTGAGACCGGCCAGGACTGTTCGGGAGCCTGTTGACACCAGCTGGGGGACCACTCGGGGGGCCTGTTGAGGCCAGCTGGGAACTACCTCGGGGGAGCTGTCTGTGCGCAGCCGGAAACCTCACCAGCCTTGCATGTGAAGAGAGAACACTGCATCGGATACGGGGCCCAAAGGTTTACACCACCACCACCAGTACCATCACCGCCACCACCACCAGCACCACCACCACTACCACCACCACCACCACCACCACCACCACCACCACCACCTCCACCACCACCACCACCACCACCACCTCCACCACCTCCCTCATCTCTTCCCTCTCCCGGGAAAGAGGAGAGGAAGACGAGGTTGGAGGAGGGGGGAGGAATCGACGTGGTGGTGTATACCTTTGGGGCCCGCATCGGACCCTTGGGCTCTTGCGTCGTGAAGGAGTGGCGCGGAAGGCTCTCGGCCAGCTTCGAAGCCCCGCACGTGGGGGGCCCTCGCGGGGCCCTCAGGGCGTGGTGGAGCGGCTCGGGAGGGAAGGCTGGGGTCGGGCTGTGCGTCTGGATGTGCGTATGGAGGAGGAGGCGGAGGAGCAGGAGGAGGAGGAGGAGGAGGCGGAGGAGGAGGAGGAGGAGGAGGAGGAGGGGGAACGCCACACATGCTCAGCTTAAGTCCGATCAACGTCAAACAGGAGGAGGAGGAGGAGGAGGAGCTCAAGGCTTGATTGCGGGCCATCGTGGTTGTGACATCTTGGTGGCCTCTCCTGGCAGCCTCTGCCAGCCCCCAGTGATCTCTGCCAGCCCTGGTGGCCTCCATGCTGTGCGCTGCCAGTCTTTCTGGCGCGCTCGAGGCTCAGCCAGATGGCTTGCGTGAGCGAGGCCGGGCCGCTCACATGTCAGAAAGGCCAGGGACACACAACAGAGGCTGCGTGCTTTTTTATGCCGATATTTGAGATTGCTCAGAGGTTGCAGTCAAGACATTCCAGTGACACCCAGACGAAGTGAGGAGCCCATGGAAGATGCTAGGGGGAGGTATGAGCTACAATGTCGTACATGACGACGTGGGTTTCACCCATGTTGGGCTGACGTATGTTTGGGAGGGGGCCAGCCACTCATCTCACGCGCCTTTGCACTCTGGGCAAGCAGAAGTCGGCGGATTGAAGCAACACAGATTCGCGCTAGCGTTTCTTCAGCGCCCTCACTTGCCATCACACGTTTACCATACTTTCTCGGTCGCAATACTTATCAGTACCGTGTTGACGTGTTGACCTGTATGATTCGGTAGTAGTACTTCAAGAGTGGCAAGCGATCTGAGATTGTGTGCTGCCGTTGTGTGTCATTAGATGGTATCTGTTGCAGTCGTGCTGTGGCCGCCAATCACGGGTCGGCGGGGATGGATGCAGGGGTCTCGACCTTCAGCGGTCTGGACCCATTCCCCGGGACCGGTTTTTCGTCCCGAGTGGTTTTTTGACGGTCCCGAGGGCCGGTAAGGGCCCCCAGAGGCCAAAAATAATGAAAAACCTTTCGTCGTGATGTTTTCATGACTCGAGGGGGTCTGGGAACGCTGTTCGAACTGTCTTGGATCTCGAGGTCCGGGGCAGCCCGCCCTCACAGGTGGGCAACTTCCCGGCCGGCGCGGGCGTCTGCGTGCGCATGTCCATTGAGGGCGCGCACGGCGAGGGGCCGTCCACGGAGGCCTGCCCCGCACGTGACGGGCGGCCGCGGGGGACGACGACGACGACGACGACGACGACGACGACGACGACGACGAAAACGGCGGCGGCGGCGACGACGACGACGACGACGAAGACGGCTCGCTGGGGAGGCGCCGCCTCGGCCTGGCCCGGGCGGGCCGAGGCGGGACGGGCGGGGGCTCTTTTCGCCGGGGCCCCCGGCAGCTCCGTGAAGGTCTCGGCGCGCTGTCGGCTTGCTGCCGCCTGCTCCCGCCTGCTCCGTCGCCCCGCCCGCCGCCCTGCGCCGCCAGCCAGAGGAGGAGGAGGAGGAGGAGGAGGAGGAGGAGGAGGAGGAGGAGGAGGAGGAGGCCTTCGCTCTGTGAGTGTTGAGGGATCATATAGACCAGGCAAGAAAGGAGGAGGAGGAGGAGGAGGAGGAGGAGGAGGAGGAGGAGGAGAAGAAGAGGAGATGCCGATACCGCTGCTCGTCCTGGAAGCCCTGGTCGCCACGGCTGGACTCTCCCCCGAGATGATGGTCAGAGCTCACCCCGGGAGAGGGCCTGGCAGTAGAGATGACGGAACATACCAGCTGGAGGCCACAGCGTCCGGCGGTTCTGGGCTAGAGCAAGTAGCCTGGACGAACGACATGGGTGGAGGGTTGGGCAGCAGAGGTATGGATACCCTTCTGTCCCCTGAGCGAGTCTCGATCCTCCAGCGCTGGGCGCCTGCTCGCTGCTTGCTGCCCGCCTCCTCGCCCGGTCCCCCCCCCCTTGTCCCGCCCTCGCACTCCCATCTGCCCCCCCTCCCGCCCCCCCCCCCCCGCCCCTGTCCCCCCTCTTTCCTGCCCCCCCGCCTCTTCCGACCCGCTTGTAGCCGCTGCCCCTGGACCCTGTCGGCGCCTCGGGCGCCGCCCCTGGCGCGCTCCGCGCGCCAGCAGGGGGGGAAAGGGGGGCCAGGGGAGATCCAGGAAATCCGCGTGGGTCTCTCGTCTTCTAGCCTCCCCCTGAAGGCCGTCCTCGTCGTCTTCGCTGTGGTCGTCGAGACAGTCGAAGTCCGCGGGAGGTTGATGTCGGCTTTTCTTTTTCTAGCCTCTCCCCAGAGGTGCTGGAGTCGTCGGATGGCCACCTGCTGCGCTTTGATACGGTCCTGAGCGCCGAGGTCTTCCTCCTCGGCGGGGCGCTCGTGCTGTCCGTCGTCGAGGCACGCGGCGCCGATGGTGAAGCCGTCGTGGCACGGCAGAGGACCTCGGGGCCGCCATAGAAGATGGGTTCAGTAAGCTTCACCGCTTTTTGTGTATGTATGTCAATACGCTGTCGGCTTGTGCTGTGTTCCTGGTTTGCCTAGCGACCTTTGTATTCGCAATGCGGATGTGTCACCCGTGGTGCATGCGGGAAGCATTATGTATGTACATATATATCTATATACACAAGACTGCATTGGCGCTTCGCGCCATGCACCTTGGTCCTTGAGACTTTGCATATGTTGGTCGTTCGCGCCATCCCTAGTGGCCTTGAAACTTTGGACCCTTCCCTGCGGTGGTTTCCAGAAGTCTTCGAAAGTTCGAGCGGTCCCTGGCCCTTCCCGGGCCTCTGGGGGCTCCCGAAAGGCGCCGGGTGGAGGGCGAAGGAAGGGAATCTCGGAGAGCGAGGAAAGGAAGCGGATGTTGGGGAGGACGAGTGGTGGAGCAGCAGAAAGAGGAGGAGGAGGAGGAGGAGGGCGCCATCGGGGGACGGCGAAGAATGTTGCAGCGGGTTGCAGCGCGTCGCAACGGGGCACGCGAACGCAAGTACTTCTTAGGGAATGCATACAATCCGGGGTTCGCAACAGATTTCCGGGATTTGTGGTTGCGAGCCCGGGATTCGGGTCAGTTTGGTTGAAGACGCAGTGTGGGCCTTGTTGGAGTGGGCCAGCCGGCTTGGGGCCCTCTGGGGACCTTAAGGGGGCTACGTAGGCCCTCCTGTTGGCCTTTCGGGGGGGCCTCCCATGGCCTTCTTGGCCTTCTCCTGGGGGCCTTGTGAAGGCCTGTTGGGCCTCTTTTTGGCTCATTTGGGGTTTCCTTGCGCAGTCCTGGGGCCGTCCAGGCCATCTGGAGGCTCTCTTTGGGGTCTCTTGGGCCGTCTTGGGGCGATACCGGAGGCCAGCCTTCTTGGCTGTTTTCGACGCTGCTAAGACCCGAACAGCGACTGTGCTGAAAAGGTACGCTTCCCGAAGGGACTGAGGCGATGTTGGTGTTCTGGGAGCTCTGTTGAGGGCCTCTTGGGCTGGCTAGGGGGCCTCTGGAGGCCCTCTGGGTCCTTCTTGGAACGCTCTTGTGCTATCTTGGGTCTCTCTTCGGCCTCTTCTGATCATCGCTCTGATCGCTTCGGGGCCTTGTGAGGGCCTGTTGGGCCACTTTTTGGCTCAGTTGGGGCTTTCTTCGGCAGTCTTGAGGCCGTCTAGAGGCTCTCTTGGGGGTCTCTTCAATCGCCTGGGGGCGATACTAGCGGATGCTTTTTTGGTTGTTTTGGACGCTGCTAAGACCCGAACAGCGAATGTGCTGAAAATGCACGTTTCCCTAAGGGAATGAACCGACGTTTGCGTTCTGGGAGCCCTGTTTGGGGCCTCATGGGCTGTCTTGGGGGCCTCTGGAGGCCATCTGGGTCCTTCTTGGAGCGCTCTTGTGTTGTCTTGGGTCTCTCTTCGGCCTCTTCTGATCACCGCTCTGATCTCTTGGGGCCTGCTGGCAGGACCCGGCTAAGCACCCTGGGAGGTCCCGGACGAGCCAGGGGACCTTTGGCAAGGATGTCCAGGGGGCTCAGAAGCCCGCGATCTTGGGGGTCCAATTTGGGTGCGGGGGACGGGGTTTCCCCCCCCCCCCCCCCCCGGCTTGTAGAAATGTAAGAAGAGGAATATATGTGTGAAAACACATGCAAACACCCGCACCTCCATCCATCCATCCATCCATCCATCCATCCATCCATCCATCCATCCATCCATCCATCCATCCATCGATCCATACACGCACGAACGCACGCACGCACACATACATACATGCATGCATACATACATACATAGGCATACACACATACACACATACACACAGCAGCCATACATTCATGCATTCATAACTACATCCATGCATTCATACATACATACATACATACATACATATGTACATACGTCTGCCTACCTACCTACTTACCTACCTACCTACCTACCTACCTACCTACCTACCTACATACATACATACATACAAACATACATCCATGCATGCATGCATACATACATACACACATCCATACATGCATACATGCATTCACGCCTACCTACGTATACCTACCCATGTCTATGCACGCATGCATGCAAGCATGCACGTTACATACATAATATACACATATATCCACACATGCATTCATACATACAGATATGCATGCATGCATCCACGCGTACAAACGTACACGAGTACATACACGCATGCATACATACACACATTCATACATACATACATTAATGCCAGCCGGCCTTCTTGTCTGCCTGCCTGCCTGTCTGCCTGTCTGTATGCATGCATGCATGCATAGATGCATGCAGTAATACATACATATATGCATACATACACACACGTGTATACATACATACCTTCACACATACGCACGCACGTACATACAAATGACCATACATACATACGTACATTAATACATCCATACACACATACACATACACACGTGCATGCATGCATACACACATACATACACATATGCATGCATACATGCATACACACATACATGCATACATACACATACATGCACACACATACACATCCATCCATCCATCCATCCATACATACATACATACATACATACAGGCAGACAGACAGACAGACTGACATACATATACACATACACATGCATGTATGCATACATACAAACACACATACGCACATACATAGAAACGTATGTAGATGTAGATATAGATAGTACTTTCACAAACCTATACACATACCAAAGCATGCGCATATATATATATATATATATATATATGTATGCATGTATGTATGTATACGCATCTATCTATATCTATATACACACGCATACTCAATTCCTTTTCTAGATTTTTGGCATATGGTGGGGGGGGAAGGGGCTCCCGCCAAAAACCTAGATCAGTGGCCCCAGGGGCCCCCTGGACACGCTTGCAGAGGGCCCGCGGGTCTCTCTGGAGCTCCTGGAAGCCCCTGCAAGGCCTAGGCAACCGGTCCAAATCGGTTCCGAAGGCGGCCGAACGGCGCCCCGAGAGCCCCGAGAGGCCCCAGACCCACCAGACGCCCGAAGACGACCCAAAGAAGACCCCTAAGAGGCTTTCGAAACGGAGAAAATATTCATTACCCATGGGTGTCCCTAAAATTTGGGAAATGCTCTTTTCTCCGGTTTTCCGGGCGTCCGAGACCGCCCAGAAGGCCCGAACATCGCCCCAAAGCTATCCGCAAGGGCTTCCAGGCAGTCCAAGAGAGCCCCAACGCGGCCCAACAGGGTCCCAAGATGGCCCGGAGAGCGCCCCATGGCGCCCCAAGATGGCCCCAAGATGCCCCCCGAAGCGTTCAAAATCGTGACCCGGCCGTTCAGGGAGACCGCGGTTGGAAGCAGGGTGGTGCGAGGAAGCCCCCAGAGGCCACCAGAAGGCGCCCAGGAGACCTCCAGAGGGCCAAAAGAAGCCCTTACAAATTTTCGTGAGGCCCCCAAGAGGCTCTCCATGGATGAGCCTCCGCAGAAAGAGCTGAGGAGGAGGGGGGACCATATGATATAATTCGCCAGGGGAGGAAGAGGGAGAGCAAGCATGAGGGAATGATACATAATAACATTACCACATCGACGGTGTCGGTAAGTTGTCAATTTTACTTTCCTGCCCTTCCTCCTGCATGCCACACCTCAAGGACCAAGATGCATGTCTATGTGCCCAGCGCTTGAGATCCATGTGCCTCACGCTGGTGCTTTTGTGGCAGCTGCCGAGACACGTCGCCCAAGCTAGGCTTACGGCCCAACTGCGCGGCATCCCACCGCCCAGGCCTTTCACTCGTCGCCCTGACGAGCGCTGGCACTCGGTGCAGAACATGTCGCCGCCTGTGGTTCGGTCTCTCTCCAGGCCTCTCGGACTCAGCTGCTCCGGGTGCCGAGGCACTCTGCCCGCTACTGCTTTTAGTATGTAGGTGTAGCCCGGGGAACGATGCCTCCTGGCCGGGCCCAGGGACCACCTCCCATGGGAGGCCTAGGGTCCCCTACCGCCCCCAGATCCCTTCCCGGCCGGGAAAGTAGCCCCATGTGGCCCCCAGATCGCTTTCAAGCGCGCTCTGGGCCGGGAAGGGAGCCCCAAGTCGCCCCCGGTACAGCCCCCAGGCAGTCCCAGAGCGCTAGCGAAGACCGCCACGAGGCCTCCCAGGGCACTCCCGAGGAAGCCCCCGAGAGGCCCAAATTGGCAAACTCCCGTAGGAAAGCATACGGCATACATTTTGAGCGTTGGCGCTGCAAGCGCGGTGGCGGATATCAGTTAGATTTTGTTCCACAAGACAGACGGCCAAGCGCTGAGTATGACAGAACATTGGTCGAGTATGTGTTCTCAATATGTGCTTGCACATCGTGGTTCTTATTTGGTTTCCTCAGGAGCAGTCCACAGTGCAATTACTCAGTTCGGGGTCCGAGCTGACAACGAATGATCATTGTGGTAACATGGTGAATGACGGCATGCCCAAACACCTTCGCTTGGTGCAACTGGCATGGCGTAGCTGCACACAGTTTCCTTTGCCGCAGGCCGTGCATGCGAGTCAAATTCGCTCGCACAGCAGCAGTCGCGTCCATGTTTGGTAGTTGATTTGGCCACCAACCCAACCAATAGCATTGCTTCTTTGGTCGCAATTGTAGGGAGCACGTTTCGGTATCTTCTCGGAGATATCGTGTTATGCTGACCCTAGCCTCTCGCGCACGCGTTGACTTTCCTGCGGCCGTGGGGTCTTGAGCTCCACCCGGGGGGGGGGGGGGGTCACGGCCCAAGGCCCCCCCCCCCCCCCTGACCCCCCTGGAGAATCCCCCCCAGGACACCCCCTGGGACCACCACCCCTGGGACCACCCTCCCTGGGTCCCCCCCAAGGCCCCCCCCCCCACGGCGGGGAAGGGACAAAGGGAAGGGTCGTCCGTGCGACGGAATTACGACACTGTTCGATCCCCCTTATTTGTTCGATCTTTCGATCCGTAGCCAGCTTGGCTCAAGCATGGCTCAAGCCACCCCGGCTCAAGCCACCAGGAGCGGTGAGGCGGCCCGGCGCGCCGTCGGCCTGCCGGGCGCGGGTGCCCGCGGCCCTGGCGGCCATGAGCCGCGACCCCGCGGCGGCGGCTGGGGCCGCGCCGCCGCCAGGTGGAGAGGACCCAGGGCCTCCAACTACCTCCTCCCCTCCCCGTGTTTCTTCTCCGGCAGGTCCCGGCTCAGGACCTGTCACCTCCGACTTCGACGGGGCTTTCGACGAGGCGGACGTCGTGCGCCTGGGCGACGCGGCCGCAGCTCCCGCTGCCGACCGCGCTGGGGTGCCCAGCAGGACCTTTGCCGCCTCGCCGCTGCCCCGCGGGTTATCCGCCTTCCCGCCAGGCCGCATTGACGGCGTGGCAGCCCCCGCACTCGCCGCAGGAGCTGCGAGCGACATGGCGATCGCCTCGGGCCCAGGAGCCTGCCGCGTGGACGGCGAGGCGCGGAGCATGTGCGACGTGCCGACGCCCAGGTGCCCCATCGACTTCTGCATTGCCCTGCTGGAGCACCTGGCGCTTCCGGTCCAGGCCACGCCCGAGGCCATCAGCATGGTGACAACCGACGTGGTCATCCAGCTGGCGCCCTCTGGTCACACTCCAAACCACAGCTCCGACATCGCCATGGACTCTGACGACAGTGGGACGCCCGAGGCACCCATGAGCGCGGAGCCCGCCTCGCCGCACGCGATCTTGAGCGGCGACCTTGCCGGCCCAGGTCCCTCTCAGACTCCCGTGCAGACGCTGACCGAGGCGGTGCTCCCGCTGTACGTTTTCGGCAGCAGCACCACCACCACCGGCACCTTCAAGGCCTCTGGCGACGGTGTGCTGCATGGGGTGCACATGTGCGAGAGCTTCGCCCTGCCGTACGTCACCTTGCGACCCGACCCAGACTGTCGCAACCTCGGGGAGTTGAGGGTGGAATGCGTGCCTTTCTCAGTCCAGGACTTCGGGCCCTCCTGCCAAGCCCTCCCGAATTCCAACCACTACACCACTCCTCCTCCCCCACGCCCTCCGCGTCCCCAGGGTGTCTGCGCTGACGGCCGGGCCCCAGGAGATGACGGCACAGAATTGGTCACATTTGGTTCCACCCCTAGGCAGGACGAAGCATTGCGCTCCGACAGGGGTGGTTCTTCAGGACAGCGCGAGGGCAGTCAGCAGCGCCGCCGCGCCCAGCACGACAGCAGCCGGCAGCACTGCAGCCAGCTACACGGCAGCAGACAGCAGTCATACCGCAGCACCCCCAATGCTGGCCTGCAGCGGTGCCACGGCCCGCGTGACCAGCTGGCGCACGACGTGGGCACCCTGGTGGCGTTCTCGCTGGACGCTTCTGGTTGCACCGCCCTTACTGGCAGCAGCTTCGGCGGCAGCGCGGGGCTGACGGCTACCATCGGCGCGGACTGGGGGCTGCCGCGCGCAACTTTGCGCTTGCTGGACAGCCTCCCCGAGCGCGGCTACTCATTCATCCTCGCGCTGGAGCGCGAGATCGGGCGCAGAGGCCTCGAGACGAAGTACTGCAGCGCCGTCGAGGGCCATCGTGACGGCAGTTCACAAGAGCACAGTAGCCAGCAGCGCAATCACAACTCGCACGGCGACCTGCACGACGGCCGCGCGCGGCGGTGGCCCGGAGCACCGCGGTGAACCGAACAGCAGCCAGGGAGACAGCGGCGACCACAAGGCCCAAGGAGACCCGCTCAGCAGCATCTCGCATAGGCCACTTGACCGAGTCGACAGTGGCCAGCAGCACCACCGCTCCCAGCGCGACGACAAACTTTCACAACACGACTCTGTTGTGCTGGGCGCGATCCCCGTTGCGCTGGGCCTGATCTCCGTGCCGTCGCAGGTTCATCGCTTCCGCATCGAGCACGATGCTCACGATTTGCTCGACTTGTACGACGACCGTCAGGTTCCGCCGGGCTGCGCTATACTGTCCGCGAGGGCCAGCAGCATCGACGCCAGGACCGACGCCTGGTCTGGTATTGGCGCCAGCGGCATCGGCGCCAACAGAGATCCCGGCACCGACGCCAGTACAGACGTTGGCATTGACTCCTGCGCCGACGCCAGCAGGATCGACGCCGGCACCACTTCCGGCGCCAACACCAGCTCCATCGACACTGGCGCTGACTTCAGCACCGACGACAGCAGCAACGACGCCGGCACCGAGGCCAGAACCGAGGCTGCCAGTATCGACGCCGGCGCCGACGCCGGCACCGACTCCGGCACCGACGCCAGCAACAACCCTGGGACCGACACCGGCACCGATCTTAGCACCGAGGCTGGCACCGACGCTGCCAACATCGACGCCAGCAACGACGCCGGCACCGACTCCGACGCCACCGACGACCCCAGCCGCATCGGCGACGGCAGCGGCTGTTGCATCGACGCCAGCAGCATCGTCTCCGGCACTGGTGCTGGCAGCGGCTCCGGCACTGACACCGGCGGCACCGACGCCAGCAGCTCCGAAGCCAGCACCGACACCAGCAGCATCGACGCCGACACCGACGCTGGCACCGACGCCAGCAGCAGCGACGCCAGCACCGACGCAGGCCCCGACACCGGCACCGACGCCAGCATCATCGACGCTGGCACCGACGCCAGACTCAATTACGGCACCGACGCCAGCAGTTCCGTGACCTGCACCGACTCTGGCACCGACACCAGCAGCATCGACGCCAGCACTGACTCTGGCACCAACTCTAGCACTGACTTTGGCACCGGCGCCATCGGCATTGACGCCAGGTTCGGATCCGGCATAGACGCCAGCGGCATCGGCGTCGGCACCGGCACCAGTACCGATTCCAGCACCGATGTCAGCAGCATCGATGGTTGCACCGATTCCAACATCGACGCCAGCATCACAGGCGCCAGCACCTCCCACACCAGTGCCCACAGCATCACCGACGCCTCTGGCCGTACCACCAGAAAGAGCTTTAGCGACGGTGCGAGGCACGATGCTCGCGACGGGCAGGACTTGTACGACGACCGCCAGGTGCCGTCTGGCTGCGATATTCTGTCCGCGCTGGCCAGCAGCATCGACGCCAGCACCGACGCCTGGTCTGGTACTGGCGCCAGCGGCATCGACGCCAAGAGGGACTCTGACGCCGACGCCAGCACAGACGTTGGCACCGACTCCTGCGCCGACGCCAGCAGGATCGACGCTGGCACCGATTCCGTCGCCAACGCCAGCTCCGTCGACACTGGCGCTGACTCCGGCACAGACGACAGCAGCATAGAGGCCGGCACCGAGGCTGGCAGCGTCGACGCGCCAGCACCGACGCCGGCACCGATTCCGGCACCGACGCCACCAGCAGCCACCTTGGGACCGGCACCGGCACGGATCTTAGCACCGAGTCTGGCCCCGACGCCAGCAACATCGACGCCAGCAACGACGCCGGCACCGACTCCGACTCCACCGACGATGCCAGCCGCATCGGCGACGGCCACGACTGCGGCATCGACGCCAGCAGTATCGACGCCGGCACCGGTGCTGGCAGCGGCCCCGGCACCAGCAACGGCACCGACGCCAGCAGCTCCGGCGCCAGCACCGACGCCAGCAGCATCGACGCCGGCACCGACTCCAGCACCGACGCCAGCTACAACCCTGGGACCGACACCGGCACCGATCTTAGCACCGAGTCTGGCACCGACGCTGCCAACATCGACGCCAGCAACGACGCCGGCACCGACTCCGACGCCACCGACGACCCCAGCCGCATCGGCGATTGCAGCGGTTGTTGCATCGACGCCAGCAGCATCGACGCCGGCACTGGTGCTGGCAGCGACTCCGGCACCGACACCAGCGGCACCGACGCCAGCAGCTCCGAAGCCAGCACCGGCGCCAGCAGCATCGACGCCGACACCGGCGCCGGCACCGCGCGGCAGCGACGCCGGCAGAGAAGCAGGCCCCGACACCGGCACCGACGCCAGCATCATCGACGCTGGCACCGACGCCAGCCCCAAGTTCGGCACCGCTGCCAGCAGCATCGAGACCTGCACCGGCTCTGGCACCGACACCAGCAGCATCGACGCCAGCACTGGCTCTGGCACCAACTCCGGCACCGACTCAGGCTCCGACGCCTTCGACAATGACGCCGGGTTCGAATCCGGCGCAGACGCCTGCGGCATCGACGTCGGGACCGGCACCAGCACCGTTTCCTGCACCAAAGCCAGCAGCAGCGATGTTTGCACCGATTCCAACATCCACGCCAGCATCACCAGCGCCAGCATCTCCCACACCGAGGCCCAGAGCATCACCAATGCCTCTGGTCGTACCATCATCAGGGGCAGAAGCTTGGGCGACCGTGTGAGGCTGGCAGCTCCCGTCGGCGCGGACTGGTCGCTGCCGCGTGCCATTCTGCGCCTCGATCTTCACGGCCCCAGTCGCACGGATCGCTTGCTGGACAGCCTCTCCGAGCGCAGCTACCCATTCACTATCGCGCCGGAGCGCGAGTTCGTGCGCAGAAGCTTGGAGAAGAATTGCTGCAGCGCACGCGAGGAGCATAGCGACGGCAGTCCGCAGCAACACGGCAGCCAGCAGCGTCATCACGACTCGCACGCCATCCCCGATCCGACCTGCGCGACGGCCATGCGCAGCGGTACGCACCACCGTGGAAGACTCAACCCCGGCGACATGGAGGTCTTCGTGACGACTCCGAAGGGCACCCTCACCCTCAGCATTTGGAGCAGCACTACGGTCGGCCACATACGGGCCCTGATTCGGGGCAGACGGGGCGCCCATCTCGCCAAGCAGCGCTTAATCTTCGCTGGGAAGCAACTGCAAGATGGCGACATGGTGTCGGATTACGGCATCCAGAAGGGGTCGACATTGGACCTGGTCTCGCGCCTGCGCGGAGGCATGCCCGCCGCCGCGGAGGCCGCTTCAGCGGCCAGCAGCCCACAAGCAACGGACCGTGACCGCCCAGAGCAGGAGGTGACGCGCGCCAGCCCTCCGCGCCCGACGACTGTGCTGGTACGCCCTCCCGCAGCGGAGGGCCACGCGCGGCCCGGCGGGGCTTCTGCTGCGCCCGCCGCAGCGCAGGCGCCGACTCGTCGCGCCTCCTCTGCCCCGCCAGGCCACCCTGCCGGCGACGCCGGAGCGGCTGACGACGCGCGCGAGGAGCCCACACGGCACCCCCGAGACCACTTGCACCGCCACGGCTGTGGCCAGCACGGCCGCGGCCCGCCGCCAGCCCAGAGAACAAGAGAAGAAGGAGGAGGAGGAGGAGTGGGAGGAGGAGGAGGAGGCGGAGGCGGAGGCGGAGGAGGCGGCGGCGTGAGAGGAGGGCAGTACGACCAGGAGGACGCACGGACTGATGAAGCTGAGAGCGTCCCTGCCGCGAATGGAAGAAGCCCCGCCGCGAATGGAAGCTCCGCCGCCGCTGCCGAAGAGATGAGCCCTCCCGTTGTGGAGAGGGAGCCTCAGAGCGCCTCGCCGAGAGCATTCCGGGCCGAGGAGGAAGAGGAGGCGCCGGAGGAGGAGGAGGAGGAGGAGGCGGCGGAAGTCGAATTGAGGAGGGAGGGCGAGCAGCTCGAGGAGGAAGGCCATTCAGTTTCGAGACTCCCTGGGGCTCGGGCGATTGGTGCTGGCCGCCCCGCCAGCCCGCAAGAGCAGGGCCCGCCAGCTACTCTGCTTGCCTTCGCAGGTGGCAGCGGCGCCAGACCCGCCGACGCCGACGGCGCTCCACCCGAGCACCGTGGTGACGGCACCAGGGATTCGCGCCTCGCGGAGGTCCTGCTCCCAGTGCCCCCGCGCGCAGGCGCGAGCAGTACGAGCTGGCGCCTGCTCCAGCGCCTAGCCACGCCAGCGATACCGGACGGACCCGCTGCACGGGCACGCCCGGCAGGGGCTGCAGCCAGCGTGGACGAGGCCGAGCCCCATCCTAACGGAGCGGCGCGACCAGTCCCCCTCCTGCCCCCGGCTCGGCTGGCCGAGCTCAGCCTCGGGAGCAGCAGCGCCGCCGCGCCAGGAGGAGCCGCCTTGGTGGCCAGCCTCTTCGACATTGCCCGTTCCGGCTCAGATGAGCAGCCCGCAGCCCAGCGGCAGGAGCCGCCTCGCTCCTCCAGGCGACCACCCGGCCGGGCCACCGCGCCTGCAGTGCAGTGGTGGTTCGACGGGCTACGCACCACCGTCGCCTCCATCCGGCGGGCTGGAGCGGTCCGGCCAGATTTCACGTGGAGCAGCCTCACGAACCCCCTCATCTGGGGCACGGTCCACGAGGACGATTTCCAGATCTTGGTGCACCAATGCAGGGAGATGGACATGGGCACGGATGGCGTACGACGAGTGCGCGCTTGGTGGAACCAAAGGGGGGTGGACAACTTGGTCTCCGCGCACCGCGTGCTCTGCGCTCTAGCGGCCTTGCACGGCCCGTGGGCGACCTACCAGGGCGAACGTCGGCCTGTCAGGGCCCCCGACCACCCAGGCGCTTACATCCCCGACGTGCTGCAGGAGATCGTGATGGCCGAAGCCCGCGCGGGCGACCTCGCCATGATGGAGGCGTTCCATCCAGCTTCCGACTTGCGGCGCGAGGCCCATGGAGCCCACGCGGCCCTGCCAGCCCCTCCGGACTTTCAGCGGCCATTGGTGCAGACGCGCCGGGAGCTGCGGCCTATCGACGTCACGGATGTCGCAGCGGACGGAGATGAGCGGCTCACTGATGGGGCTTGGGGAGGTCCGCAGGTGTTGGCAATCGATTCCGACTCGGACGAGGACGCCCTGAACGACGCCGAGCTCCGGCAGCTTCCGCCAGAGATGCAGGTCCAAGAGCCTAACCCGGCAGCGGCTCGGGCGCGCAGCCAGATGCTCACGGACGCCTCGGTGGACAACGCGAGGGCGGCCGAAATCACCAGACTCCTATCTGGTGAGGCAGGCGAGGCCCCCTTGCTGGCGCGAGGCACCACCGACATAGCCTCTTGGCTCGCGCAGGCCATTTGGGTAACCTTGCCGTGCCACTTGTCCCAGCAGCTCCTCCCGGCCCTCGTGCGGTCGGCGACCAACGCCCAGCCCTTCCGGGATCTGGCGGAGTGGTTCGCCGAGCAAGGGTGCTTCACCCCAGCCGGGCTCGCGCGAATGTTGAGCGCGGTCTCGCGGATCCAGGTCGAGCCCTACGACCCGCTGTGCCCTGGCCAGATCGCGGAGTTGCTTCAGACGACGTATCTCGATCTCGACTTATTCACGGCTCTGTCGGCGGGGCAAACCGCCCTACGGCGGCACCAAGCTTCCACCAGCGAAGAGGCGGGCACAAGCCTGGCGCGAGGGAACGAGCACTGCACGGTCTGCCTGGAGCCCTTTGGCGACGGCGATGGTACGAGATGGCCGGGGTGCGGGCACCGCATGCACGCCGCTTGCATGCAGGAGTGGCGGAGGCAGCGAGCAGGCGTTCCACCGCCGCCGCGCGTCCGACCGCACGAATGGTTCCCTGTGTATTGCCCCGCCTGCCGTTTGCCATGGGCTGAGCTTGACGGCGACCCGCCGATGCCAGACGCGGCAGCATCACAGCCGGAACCCTCAGCCGCCCGCGACGAGGATGGGCTGGCATTCCCCGAATCTCGGGCAGTTGCGAACGAGGCAGGTCAGGGCGGCGTCGCCCAGCGTGCAGCAGCCGCGGAGTCGAGCAACGACCACGACCAGGCGGCGACGAGCGGCCTGGAGACCTCCCCCGTAGCGGCAGGCAGATCGTCCGGCGACTCCATGGACGACCGCCTGCCTGGCGCGCATCCGACGGCCCAGGGGTCCAGAGGTCCGGCGTCGGAGCCAGCGCTAGTAGCAGACCTGGGCGGCGACGGCATCACGGCCACCGACAGTGTGGCGCCAGCAATCCCGACGGGCCCCGAACCGGGGACAGCTGCTGCATCGCCTGCCGCCGCCGCGGCCCTCAGAGACGTGGAGCAAGGTGGCACGAGGCCGTCTCGGCCAGGCCTTGTCGGCGGCGCCCCTGAGGGCCCACCGGCCTCCGCGGCCTCCGATCGCGCGGCAGAGCCGGGCCAAGCCCCATCGCAAAGTCTGGCGGCAGGCAACGATTTCGCCGCCATCGAGGGCTACCAGCAGGGGGCGCGCCCGGCGACAGCATCGAGGCCCACGCCCGCAGGAACAGCGTCGCAGCCGACAGCATCAACAGCAGCAGCACTGACCTCAACAGCCGCACCGACGGCCATACCAGCAGCAGCAACCCCGACGTCAGCGCTAGTACCGGCAGCAGCACCGGCGTCCGCACCAGCAGCATCACCGACGTCCACAGCAGCACCGACGCCAGCTCAAGACCTAGCTGCAGCACCGACGTCAACAGCAGCACCGGCGCTAGGACGCGCACAAGCACCGACGTCAGCGTCGGCACCGGCTTCAGCACCGACGCCAGCACCAGCAGCAGCACCGACGTCAGCTGCAGTACTGACGTCAGCTCCATCTCCAGCAGCAGCACCGACGTCAACAGCGGCACCGACGCAAGCACCAGCTCCGACGGCAGCGCCCGCACCAGCAACAGCACAGACGACAGCACCAGCGGCGACGTCAACAGCAGCAATGGCATCAGCTCCGACTCTAGCAGCAGCACCGACGACAGTGCCAGTAGCACCGACGTCAGTGCCAGTAGCACAGACGTCAGTATCAGTAGCACCGGCGTCAGTACCAGCAGCATCGACGTCCGTACCATTAGCTCCGACTCCAGCAGCAGCGCCGACGTCTGTACCAGCAGCACCGACGTCCTTACCAGCAGCACCCACGTCCCTACCAGCAGCGCCAGCGTCAGTACCAGTAGCTCGGACTCCGGCCGCAGCAACGACGTCAGTACCGGCAGCACTGGCGGCAGTACCAGCAGCACCTGCGTCAGTACCAGCAGCACCGGCGTCAGTACCACTAGCACCGACGTTAGTACCAGCAGCACCGATGTCAGTACCGGTAGCTCCGCCTACAGCAGCAGCGCCGACGGCAGTTCCAGTAGCACCGACGGCATTACCAGTAGCACCGACGTCAGCTCCAGCAGCACCGACGTCAGTACCAGTAGCTCCGACGTCAGCACCAGAAGCACCGACGGCAGTACCAGCAGCACTGGCGTCAGTACCAGTAGCTCAGACTCCAGCAGCAGCATCGACGTCAGTACCAGCAGCACCGACGCCCGTACCAGCAGCACCGACGTCCCTACCAGCAGCACCGACGGTAGTACCAGTAGCTCCGACTCCAGCAGCAGCATCGACGTCAGTACCAGTAGCACCGACGTTCCTCCCAGCAGCACCGGCGCCAGCACCAGAAGCACCGACGTCAGGACCAGAAGCATCGACGGCAGTACCAGCAGCACCGGCGGCAGTACCAGTAGCTCCGACTGCAGCAGCAGCACTAACGTCAGTGCCAGTAGGACCGACGTCAGTTCCAGTAGCACCGACGCCAGCAACAGCAGCACCGACGTCAGGACCAGTAGCTCCGACTCCAGCAGTAGCACCGACTTCAGTACCAGTACCTGCAGCCCCCCGAGGAGCCGCGCCGCCGCCAGGCTCTCCCCCGCCTGGCCCGCCGTCCGCTTCGGCCACGGCGCCGACACAACCATCCCCGTGCCCTGGCGGCGAGGCGCCCCTGGTCACGTCGGGGGCATGGGCCCGCTTGCTGATGAGGCTGACCAGCCTTACCTGACCGGGCGAAGGCCGAACCCGCCTCCCACCGGAAGTGGTACGAGTAGCAGTGCAGGAGGTCAGCCCCTACATGGTCGTGGCTGCGGGCACCCACGCGCTCGTGGGCACGCGGGACGGGGACGCCCTCGACGTACCATGCCTGGAGGACGGCAGGGACGCATACTACGCTGCCGCAGCTGGTCTGCCGAGCTCCGACAGCGCGGCAGCCGACGACCTCCCCCCGGTGTTGCTGGCCATAGGATTACGCCACGACGGCCTCCAGGCTCTGCGGGCCGCGCTGGCCGCTGCCGACCGAGCGGTGGACATCCTCGCTATCGCTTGCCGGCGGACTGCCTCGCCGGGCGTAGCAACGGGCACGGACTTGTGTCTTCTGGCGCATGCCGAGTGGGGAGCCCGGAACCTCGCGATGGCAGCCCATTTGACAGCGGTCGGACAGCCGCTGACAGATCGCGGCCGCGCCGTGCAGTGCTTCGCCCTCCAGGTGCCCTTGCGCCCCGAGCCAGCCCGCCCTCCTGTGGAGACGATCGTGACTTGGGCCGGAGCGGCCGAGCTGGCCAGCGAATGCCTGCACATCCTACTCCACGAAGGCCTGGACCCGCACGTGCACGCGGCCCTCCTTCGCTTCCAGGCTGCGACCAGGGCGCGTGGCCTGAGTATGGAGTGGGCCACCGAATCCCTCAGACCCGGAAGCGATCCACACCAGGCGGGGTCCCACGTGGCGCCACTCCTTTACCACGCAATCCGTGTCACGTCAGCGCCAGCGGCCCCAGACATCGCAACTTTGGGAAGTGCTCTCGCAGCCATCCAGCACCAGGGCTTCACCTTGACTTGGTGGCGGGATCGAGATACGCACCATGCCGTGCACATCCCGATGGCCCGCGGCAGCATCCCAGCAGCGGTGGCCGCAGCGGAGGAGCCCGCTCTCCAGATGGGTGGCCGCGTCGCAGCGCGGATCGATGGGCTGTTACTGCTGGACCTCCTCCCAGCAGTCACGGAGGGCGTGGTCCGTGCGGCACAGCTTGACCAGTGGATTTCCCCGGCCGCGCCGGCCAGCCGCATCCTCTGGGCTGGTGACGCCCACAGGCCGCGGGGGTTCCTCTCCACTACGGGGCCGACGGCAGGCCATGATCTTCTCTGGCTGGTGGTCACCAGAAACCAGGTCTCCGACGGGGACGTCGCGCGCCGCCTGCAGGACCTACTGGCGCACCCCGTCCACGTCTCGACAGTCAACGCCCTGGACCCATCCACCGACAGGTTCGACAACATGAGCCTTGTTCGGGTCGCGGCGCCTGCGGCCGACCGCATGCGCATCCAGGTGGGGAGCAGCGGCCAAGTGACGGTTGCCGGGGTGCCTTGCCGGGCGTTTCCTTTTGGATCGACCCGCATTCGGACGCAAGGTCACCGCGCCCCGCGCACGCCTGACGCGATTCGCCAGCTCTTGGCGGCCGCGTCGCGCCCAGGCGCCGCGGCTGGAGGGCGCTCCACCACTTTCTCGCAGGTGGCACAGAGGACGCCCCTCGAACCCTCGGGAGCCGCTCTTGGTCCGGCGGTGCCCCGGCTGCTGGAGTTCCGGACGGGCCCATGGCCGTCGGGCGGCCAGGCAGATGCGGACAGTTGGGCAGACGTCTGGACGCGCATGCTCTTCCTCGGGACCGTGGTGCACGCGCGCCTCTGGGTGCCAGCGGAGCCCACCCGCCCGGCCTCCCGCCCCCCGCCGCTGCCGCTAGGATGCCAGGACCACTTTTCGCAGACTCTCCACTCCTCTTTGGGGGCGGGGGCCGCCTTCCGGCAGGAGGGCGGGGTCTCGGGCCTCAATGGCTGGAGCGACCACCTGCTTCCCGGCGAGCTCCTCCTCGTTCGCGTCGCCGCGGGGAGCCGCCTGCGCCTCCGCGCACCAGGGGAGGAGCTGTCGTGGACGCCTACGTTGCCAGCGTGGATCGCGGTGGTGCACCCCGCCGAGGCTGACGGCCGGGCCGCGGCTCACCAACTCGATGGATTCCTGCACGTGGACGTGGAGCTGGCCGATGGCCCTGTGTGGGTCGCCCGGCGCCCTCCCTCGGGCCCTGCGCTGGCGACCCGGCGAGCCGCGGCGGCGCCGCCGCCGGCAGCTGCAGCACCAGCTCCTACCGCCCCGCCTCGTGACCCCCGTACTTTCCGGGAGCGTTTACAGCACCTCGGAGATCCACCAGCTCCACCAGGCCCTCTCCCGTCGGCGTTGGTGGACCCAGCCAGGGCGGCCGCCCGGCTCGCGCTTCAGCCAGTCGCGGACACGCCAGCGGCCCGATATGCGGATCTCTTGGCGCATTGGCTGGTGGCCCACATCACGGCTTCCCAGCGCCCGCAACCCCCAATCAGGTGGCAGTGGGCGATGCTGATCGTTGCTTGGCTGCTGGAGGTGTTGGGCATCGCGCAGCTGTGGCAACAGGACGCCGGTGCCGCGGAGGACCTCCTCACGGAGCTCCAGATTGGCAGTCCTGCCCGCCGGCGCCAGCCCTTCGAGCCGTGGCAGCACGGGCGGCGCGGCGTGAGGCCAGGCGTGCCGCTCCCAGGCAGCCGGGTGCAGGACGCCGCCAGCGCCCGCAGACACGGGCACACCAGCTACGCACTGTCAGCAGAGGCCAGCGCGGCCTTGGACGCTTTGGTTCACGCGACGCTCGCTGCCCAGGCACCTGGCGTGAGCCCAGCGGCGCCGGCGGCGCCAGCAGCGAGCGCCACCGACGCGGCCGGGCAGGACGGGCTTGGAGGGACCAGTGGAATGGACGTTGATGGCGCCACCCTCGGCGCCCCCGTGCCCTCCACTGCGCAGGTTCCTGCCGCGGCCGCGGCCCCTCCCCCTGCAGACGCTGCAGCGGGAGCCACCCCGCCGCCAGGCGGTGGCTACCTAAACGGTCGCCCGCAGCATGGACTCGTGCAAGCAGCAGCGCTAGCCTCCAGCGCTGGCACGGCTCCCCCTGCAGCGCCCGCCACCGGATCGCTCTCCGGCCCTTCGGGCGCGCTCGCGCTGCCAACTGGTGCTGCGGCGCCAGCGCCCGTGCTTCCAGTCTCGCCAGTAGCACCCGCGCCAGCAGCCGTTGCCGCGCCCAGGGCCGGCCCCGCCTCCGCCGAGGCCCCCCCGACACTGCCGCCACAAGGGCGGCCGCAGCTGTTTGCCCCGGGCCAGACTGCCCCCTTGCGCCTCGGAGAAGAGCATCCCGGGCAGCTTGCCCACCAAGGCGGAGCGAGGGCGTTGCATCTTGGTGCTGTTGCAGACCTTTCGGGCGACGGTCAGGCCCTCAGCAGTGACCGCAATGGCGGCGGCGGATCCGGCCAGACGGCCGCGCCGACGACCATGCAAGCAGCAGCACCGACGTCAGCGCCAGCACCGGCAGCAGCACCGACGTCCGCACCAGCAGCATCACCGACGTCCACAGCAGCACCGACGGTGGCTCCAGACCTAGCTGCACCACCGACAGCAGCAGCACCGGCGCTAGGACGCGCAGTAGCACCGACGTCAACGTCGGCACCGGTTTCAGCACCGACGCCAGCACCAGCAGCCGCACCGGCGTCAGCTCCAGCACCAACTCGGACGACAGCGCCCGCACCAGCAGCAACACTGACGCCAGCACCAGCACCAGCGCCGCCGTCACCAGCAGCACTGACATCAGCTCGGACTCCAACAGAAACACCGACGTCAGCACCAGTAGCACTGACATCAGTACCAGCAGCACTGACGTCCGTACCAGCAGCACCGACGTCAGTACCAGCAGCACCGACGTCCGTACCAGCAGCACCGACGTCAGTACCAGCAGCACCGACGTCAGTACCAGCGGCACCGACGTCAGCGCCAGTAGCTCCGACTCCAGCAGCAACACCGGCGCCGGTACCACCAGCATCGACGTCACGGAACCCCGTCCGGAGCACGCCGGGCACACCAGCAGCGCCCGCCGCAGCGGCACCAGGTGCCCCCCCTTCGTCCGGGGACCGCGCGGACGGCGCAGTTGCGACGGCGCCCCTCGGCAGCCGGGGCCGCGACCGAGGGCGCGGACATGGTGCTAGCGGCGCCGGGGCCCGCGCTGCGGCCCGCCGCCGCGGCTCAGCTGGCCCTGCCCCGCGACTGGCGGGAGTCCGGCGCCGATCCCCTGTGCCCGCCGAGCCGGGCCTCGAGGACGTCGCCCACGGGGCCTGGCCCCCCTTGCCTCGCCGCATGCGCGTCCGGCAGGCGGGAGCGGAAACGGCGGCACCTGGACATGACCGCGACCCCACGGGCCCAGGCGACCCTGCATTCCAGAGCTGGGCTGGATTCCTGGACCAGCCCGCCGTTCAGGCCGCGGCGCCCAGCGACACGGCCGCCGCGTTGCCTGCCCAGCCGGTCTGCTTGCTCTCGCTCTTCGACAGCCTTGGCATGACGCGCGTGGCGTTGGACGGACTCTTGCGGGACTTCCGCCATCCTGGATTAGCCCAGTCAGGCTTCGCCGAGGCTGACGCGACACTTGCCGCGGCGGTTGAGCGCAGCTGGGCCACCCAGGCTCGCCTCACAGGTACGACGCCTCACGTCAAGCTCGCTGGCGACATCTGGGACCTCTTCCGCGGGGCGGACCCTCCGCTGGCCCGCTTCGGCCGGGGCTTCCCGCCAGGCAGCCTAGTGCTGGTGATCGCCGGCACCCCTCCCCAGCAGCTGCATGCCGCGGGCCCGCACCAAGGCCGCCAGGGCCTATGCGGCGACGACTCGTACCTCTTCTGGACGATACCGCTGGTTGTCTGGAGCCTGCAGGGCCTGCGGCCCGACTGTCACGTTCACGCCGTGGTGGAAAGTGCAGCCACCACCCACCCCCTCCATAGGGCGGCGATGACCAGGGCCCTCGGCGATCTCGACGACGGTGGACACGTACTGGTGGTGGACTCCAGGGCGTGGGCTCCTTTCCCGCGGAGGCGCCTTTACCTCAGCACGCTGCCGATCGTGCTGGATCCCAGCTTCACGCCTGTCCGCCGGCCGGCTCCCTGGGAGGGCGGCTTCGCGCCCCACTGGGACGATGGAGGTACTGCGCCGATGACGCGTTCCACAGGGCTCGGGGATCAGATTCGGCACAGCACTCCCCAGTACCACCCGCGCACGATGCTATACGCGGCCGACGCGCCCTGGCGGCAGCTCACGCTGAACGACGTCGCGGCCCGATTCCGCCGCATCCTCCCCAGGCACCTCCTCCCCGCCTTCGGGCTCGTCCTGGGAGGGAGGTCGCTGGAGAACAACCTCGAGGCACAGAGATTCGCTTGTTGGGTGGAGACCCACGGCGCAGCCCACGGGGTGAGGATGCCCTCCCCCGCAGAGCGCGCGGCTGCCACGGGCCATGGGCCCTATCTCGCGGGGCTCGGACTGGAGGCCCGACAGTTGTTCGATGCGGTCGGGAGCCATTTGGACGTGACCGCCCTGCAGGTGCGGCTCCGCGGACCACTGCGCGATTGGCTCCAGGGAAGGACAGGGCATCCGCGGGCGTACCACGCGCCAGCCGCGTTGCTCTCCCAGTACCGCCGGCTTGCTGCGGACGTGGACGGCCTTCCTGGCCCACCCCGCCCCACGCGCGAGTGGCCTGTACCGCTCGACCTGGTCGGAGACATGCTTGGCGCACGGCGACCCGCCCAGCGCCTGGCCGGACCTGATGCGGAGCATCCGCAGGACGGTCCTGCATCCGCTCCGGCCGCCGCACCCGCGGTGCCCGCCGCAGCCGGTCTGCCGGCCTCCAGTGCTGCGCACGCTGCTGCAGCTCACCCCCCAGCGGCCGAAGACGGCCGCCGCGCCCAGTGATGGATCCGGACGCCGCCCTCCTCCTGGACGCCCTCGGGCGGCCGCCTCCGGGCGCCCCACTGCCCCAGGCCCGCACGCGTGCTTGGGCAGCGGTCCGGGACAGGCTTGCGGTCGCTCTCGCTGCCGCTGGGGTGTCAGCGAGGGTCCGCTCGGCGAACGCCTTGTGGCTGCTCCTCCACAGGTCCCGGGTGCCGCCGGGCGCCACATGGGGCCGCCTTTGCGAAGGCCGAGGCCTCTCGCAACTGTTGGCCGCGCTGCGCGAGGACCGCGCGGGCGCCGGCCTCCGCCTCGCCGCTTGGAACATCAGGTGGCTGGTCGACCCCCACGCCACGAACAATTCGGCCAAGCGCCGGATGGTCCAGGGGTGGCTCGACGCTGGGCGCATCGTCCTGCTCGGGGAGACGCACTGGGGCGCAGCAGAGCAGGCGCTGTGGGCAGCCCAGTTTCCGCCGGCCACGGTCCACTCTTCTCCGGCACAGGTTGGGCCAGGCGGCGGAGCTACCGGCGGCGTTGCCGTGCTGCTCCCGGCGACGCTGCAGGCGACGACCGTTACGGAGCTAGTGCCTGGGTGTGCATTGGCCGTCCACACGATCATCGCCCGCTCCTTGGTCCGTTTCGTCTCCTTGTACTTGCCGCCGGGCGCACAGCGCGCCACCCTGGCGGCCGTGCGTGCGGCTCTTCCTGCAGCCCCCGAGGTGGCCACTTACCTCGGCGGCGATGTGAACTTCCAGTTGCACGAGCCGCGGGACGGGGAGGAGGAGCTGGCTGCGGAATTTCATGCACTTCTCCACGCACACGGCCTCACCGCAGTCACTGGCGCCGCGGTCACACGACGCGGAGCGCGCGGCCCTCCTGCTCAGCTGGATCTCGTGGCGGCGCCGCTGCGAGAGGCGTGGCGCTGGAGACCACAGTTGGTATGGAGATTGCCCCTCTCCGATCATGCCGCTATTCTCGCCGGCCCTGAGGTGCAGCAGGGTACGGCGGTACGGGCTCTCACGCCGGCCACGTTCAAGGCCCTCCCCCAGGAGGCCTTCATGGACTTGCGGAGGCGGTACGCGCTGCTGGGGCGAGCGTTTGACCTCCCAGACGTCGACCTCTCAGGATTGCGCCCTGCGGCATGGGGAGACCGACCGGCGGGCCCGGAGGACGCGTTGCATGACAGGCTCAACGCGGACATCTACGGCACAGACTACGGCCCGCCCGGAGCCGACGGCGAAGGTGCAGCTGACCCGCCTGGAGGGGATGGAGGAGGGCGAGGGCGCAGGCGCCGTGGAAGAGGAGGAGGTGGAGGAGGAGGAAGACGAGGAGGAGGAGGAAATGCCGACGACGCCGGCCAGGAGATTCCTGCAAGCGAGGCCGACCTACCCGGAGGCGAGGGTGCTGGAGGGGGACGCGCTGCTGCAGCAGGAAGAAGAGGTGGAGAAGATGCCGACGACGCCGGCCAGGAGGTTCCCGTCCTCCCTGCCCTGATGCTGTATGGGCGTGCCGCCCTCTCGGCTATGCTGGCCAGCTGGTGGGAGGACTGGCGCAGGCGGCGCCCCCTGCCGGAACCTGGCACGGAGCTTGCTCGCGCTGCCGCCCGTGGTGGTACCCATGCGCCTTCTGGACCTACTGGCGAGTGGATGCGCGCCCTTGGTTGGGACGGCCGCGAGCTGAACCAGGAGGCGCTTGCCGCATGGCTCGCCTTGTGGCAACGGGAGCAGCACCACCACCGCCGAGTGCGGCTTCGGCCGTGGGAGCGCGGCGCTTCGGCGGCCAGGCCCGCGCTCGCTGAGCCCTTCCGCATAGGGCGCCAGCTTTTCAACCGCGTCCACTCACTCCGCGGTGTCCGCGATGCCCACGGCCGGTGGCACGACGAGCCAGCTGAAGTGGAGGCGATCCTTTGGGAGAATCGGGAACCGCTGTGGGGCTCAGCGCCGCCCACACCTGCCCGGGCCTCTGCTCTCCTGGATGATTATTTCTTGCACCGCGCGGTGGACTTGCCAGCACGCCCGCGGCCGCGCTGGCGGCGCCTTGCCTCCTTGGTGCTTGGGCCCTGCGGCTCCGCCGCCGGCCTGGACGCTGAGCCTTACGAGTGCTATCACATCGGCGCCCGCTTCGTGGCTGCGCTTTTGGGACAGGCCTTCCATGCCGCGCAGTTGTGGCCGCAAGTGCTTCCCACCGTGCTGGGCCCATCGGTGGACTTGCTCATATGGATACTGAAGAAGCCCGATGGGGAGCAAGCGGGCGACATGCGGCCCCTCCAGCTGCCGACTTGCTTCCGGAGGCTATACGGCGCCGCGCTTGCCTCGGCCGCAGGCCCGGCCCTCGAGGCCCAATTCGCTGAGGGGCAGGCGGCGGTCGCGGGCGGCTCGTGCGGCCCCAACATCGCGGCCGCTTTCCGGCACCTGGAGGACCCGGCCCCGCGCCCAGCCTCTCCGCCAGGCCCGCTCTGGCAGGCACTTCTTGGGCCAGACGCACCAGCGATCGAGCGCCATATCGGCGAGGTGGAGGAGGGCGACCTTCGTCTGGCCACTGCGGTATTGTGCGCGGACCAATCAAAGGCCTTCGAACGGGTGTCTTGGGCCTGGCTCCGCGAGTTGCTCGAGCGATGGCGCCTTCCAGCCTGGGTCACCAACGGCTTCTTAAGTCTCGTGGTGGACCGCAGCGTCCGGGCCCTCCGGGCAGGCCGGGGCGGGCCCCCAAGGCGCCTCAGACGATCAATCGGGATGGGCGGCACCGCCTCGCCCCTCCTGTGGAACGTTTGCTACGACCCCATCATCGCGGGGCTGCAGCGCGCGCTCGGAGTGGCAGACCCCACCTTCATGGACGACACCGCCTGCCTCGTGGTGGGACCCCGCCAGGCCCTGCGGGTGTCCTTCTACCTGGTGTACGCTTCCTGGGTGGCCGGCCTGTGTGTCGAGGCGCACTCCTGCGCGCTCCTGGTACTGCCGGGGGCTCCTTTGGCGGTGCGGCGGACGTGCGCGGACCTCCCCGTCAGCATGGTGGACAACGGCGGCGACTTGCACATCACCGGCCTGATTCCAGAGCTGGTCCGGGACGTTCTGGCGCACCGATGCGGGGAAGACGCGGTCCGTGGCTGGCGAATCCTCGGGCGCGCGTGCGGTTGCTCTGTGAAGACAGCATTGGTGCCAGCCGCACACCTGGACCGCTGGGCCACCTGCATGGCGGCGTCGCCCTTCGGCCGCGCCGCCGCGCGCCCGGCCTCGCCGTACTTGGGCGCGGCCTTGGGCTCGCGCGCACTGGCGGCTGGCGCACCGAGGGGGTGGTCCGCGGGCGCCCTTGCGGCGGTGCGGCAGGGTTCTTGGCGCCGCGCCTCCGGCCGACTTCGCGAGCGGGGCGCCGCCCTTGGCGGGGCGGTCGGCTCCCCCGGACGCCGCGCGGCGGCTTGGAATTCCTACGCCGCACCATTGACGGAATACCCCACGCACGTCGGGCTCCCCTTGCCGGCGGACGAGTCCGCCGCGACCCATGCGATGGCCACGGCGCTCCGCATCGCAGGCACGCGCTGGTGTCCCACGTGGGTGGCCACAGGAATCGGCCCCTACTGCGGAGCCCGCGGGGCGCCGAGATGCCCGGTGGCCGCCGCCCGTGCCACTGCGGCGTTGGCTTCGGTGCGGCGCGACGCTTGGGCCCCCCGCCCGCTGCGCGAGGAGCTTGGGTGGTGGTGGGGCCGCCTCCAGCAGTGGGCTCAGCAACCCCAGCCGGCGCCGCTTGCCCCGCGGCCGCGCGGGGGCCCGCTCGGCCTCGCAGACGCGGCGCTCCAGCTCCGCCGCGCCGCCGGCGCGCGGCTTTGGCCACAGCCGCGCCTTCGCGCCGCCCGCCTCGGCCGAGCGCTCTACGTGGCGGCCTGGGCGGCCGCCCGCGCTCGGTGCCTCGGGGACTGGCTACTGGAGCGCTCCACAACGCGACGGTGGGCGCCCAGCCTCGGTGACGAGTGGGTGCTCCTCGGAGTGGCCCGGAGCTACACGGCGGCCTTCCACATCTTGCGTTTCTTGGCAAACGGCCTGCCCGGGGCGGCTCGGTGGCGGCCTTCGGACGAGCGCCCGCCCCGGCTGTGCTGCGTGTGCGCCCGACCAGCCTGCCACGCTTGGCGGACCGCTCACAGCGGGCAGCCCGCGCTGGAGTGGTGTGCGGACTGCTTCGGGCCGTGGGCCGACGGGCACGCATGGGCTGCCCGCCCGCTGCATCTGCTGCCGGAGGAGCTCCGCGCCGACGCGGCGCGTCTCCAGGCCGCGCGGCCCCGCCTCGCTCCACCGGACGCCTGGGGCCCCAGCGGTTACGGTTCGTGCCCGCTCTGCGGCGCCGGGGAGGCCGGAGCAGAGCACCTCTGGCATTGGTGCCCGGCCGTGGCGCTCGCGTGGCGCCGGTTGTTCCCTGCCGCCGATGCTCCCGCCTTCGGCGAGGCGCTGCGCGCGCCCGGCGACCTGGCCCAGCCAGTGGCCGCCTTCACTCACCAGCTGGTCTTCCACTACATGTCGCTGCTTGGCAGGGCCACTCTCCAGAGTCCGGACGCGGCACGGCGGCTGGTCCGGGCTTTCGCGGCCACCAGCGCGCGCGGCAACGCGGACAACAGCGACGACGACGACCTCGATGACCCCGACGCGGGCGACGGCGCCGCGGCCACTCACGCGCAGCCGGGCCCAGCTCGGCAGCCAGCCGGCCTTTGCCCAGACGCCTGGGGCCCGCCCGATCCGTCCTGTCCGGACTGCGCGGCGATTGCGGCCCCCGCCCTCGGGATGCGTTCTTCGGCGGTCCCTGCCGCGCTGGCGCGCGAGGACCGTGGAGGCGGCGCCATGGTTCGACGTGCGGTGGCCCGGCGCTCTGCCGCGCCCGGCGACCTCCTCGGATGCCTCACGGCCGATAGCAGCCCTGCAGCTTGGATTCCAGCAGGCGCCGGCTGGTGGCCCCGGCCTCGTCGTGTCCCTCCGGCGTTGGCCACCGCGGAGTGGTCGGTCCAGCACTGCCCTCACTGCCGCTGCTCCCGGGCGTGCCTGAGAGCTGGTCAGCGCCTTCTGCCCGACGAAGAGGTGACTGTGGCGTGGTCGCCGTCGCCAGCCCACGAGGATGCGACATGGCCCCTGGAGGTCACCTTCGATGGCGGCTCGCGGCGGTTCGACGGCGAGGAAGCGAGCGGAGCGGGCGCCATCCTCTGGCGCCACCACCTCGCCGGAGGCGCCCCTACCAGAGTGGCGGAGGTGGTAGTGGCACTTCCAGCCGGACCTGGCTCGCAACCCGCGGAGGCCGTCGGATGTCGCCACGGCCTCGGCCTGCTGCGGGGCCTGGCCTTGCCCTTCCGCCGCGCCCGCGTGGCCGGCGACAACACGGCGGCGATCCGCTACGGCGCCGGCACTGGCCGGTTTCGGCGGCTGGAGCTCCAGGCCGAGATCGAGGAGGGCTTGGCGCCTCTTGCGGCCGAGGGCTGGGTTCTCGAGTTCCAGGCCGTCCGCCGCAGACTCAACAGCGGCGCCGACGCCCTCGCCACGGAGGGCGTCGAGTGGGCCGCGGAGCTCCGCGCGCAGGGCGACTTGCGGGTGCAGTCGCGCACCAGGTGGCTGTAGCCCGGCCGCGAGACGGACGACCTGCGGGGCAGTCGCGCACCGGGCGGCTGTAGCTCGACCGTTCGCTGTTCACGGCGGCAGGCAACCAGACGTCGCTCATCGCGATGGGGAGCAGCAGCGGCCAGAGAGCCGGCAGGTGACGGCGACGAGGTGGGGGAGGCGAAGGACCAGGGAGGCGGCGGTGGAGGAGGTGGAGGCCGAGGAGGTGGAGCAGGCAGAGAAGGAGGGGGAGGGCAAGGAGGCAGTCGAGAAGGCCCCGACGC